CTTCAAATCCAGTTAAAATCAAATAGTTAGCTCCATGCCTTTTATGTTCTGTATATTGCCATTTCCAATAATGACATGGAAGGGGAATGAGTTTGTTGTTTATGGGCTCAAATAACCCATTCCAATAGACGTCGAATAACCAACCTCATTGTTGAACCTTCTCAGTATAGAAACAAATGCCGAGTACTTTGCAGAGACTGTGCATATGTCAAAATAATCAATTTATGGATTCCTAGAAACTGATGATGTCGAAAAAAATTGCCAAATATTTTTCCTTTAATAAAGTATTAGTAGTAAACTCACGATAATAAATTCATAGGTCAAATCGAGGTTAATCTCAGAAGCAGACCATTGATTTTCAAGGAAGTTTTCGATGATTATTTCATTTGCACAAAAGCTTTAGCGATTGCACGCACCGGAAGGTACGGCCATCTTCAACCTGAAGAGGGTCTGTGGGCTCAGTGACTTAGTCATTGAGCCCCCGCGCAAGTCAGGAGTTGTGGCTCAGTGCCACAACTGTCAACATTTTGGCCACACGGCCAACAATTGCTTCGCTCACCCTAGGTGCGTCAAATGCACCGGTGACTATTACACTACCGAGTGCACGCGGCCGAAAGATTGCGCTGATCCACCGGACTGCGTAAACTGTAACGCCACCGGCCACCCGGCTAGCTACAGAGGCTGCGCTAAGGCCCCGAAAACTCCCGCGAGGAAATCTCCCGCGAAATCCACCTTGCCCAAACCCGCGCCCGTTAAATTCATTCCCGCGCCCGTACCCGTCATAAACGCCTGGGCGAAACCCCAGGTGGCCGCGCAGGTAACCGCGCCGGTAAACCCGGTCGCCTCACGACCGATCGCACAACAGCTGCCCGCCTCTCAAACGGCGCCGCGGCCGCAGGTGCAGCCAACTCCGTCAGTTTTCGCGGAAAACAAGGACGACCCATTCGCGCAAATCGCTAATATTTGCAGCTTATTAGATAGGATCAATAGGCAGGAACTCGCCGTATTGTCCGCTAAAATAGCGGCCGCCACATCTGGCCACGAGCGTCTTAGGGCAATTAGCCAACATAAAACGCTTGTGGAAGCCCTTTGGGCTTTTACGAGCCAACCGTAAAAAAACAATAGTCCGCGCAATAAAACCGCGCTCCGCCGCGTCGTTAATTAGACCCATAAAAACACCTTAATGGGAAGTACAACCGCAGGTAGAACAAAACCTCGGGCTCTGGTTGTTTCGTATTTCAACGCAAACGGCATAAAGGGTCAAAGGGACGAAATCGCGGAATTCCTTCGCGATCATAACGTAGATATTTTTCTAGTACAAGAGACATTCTTGAAACCTAGTGTACGCGATCCCAGAATCGCAAATTACAACATTGTCCGCCACGACCGGTTAGCAAACCGTCTGGGAGGCACATTAATTTATTATAAACGGTCTTTGCACTGTTGCCCGCTCGACATTCCAGAGCTAAGTCAAATAGAGGCATCCGCGTGTAGGTTAGCGCTCACCGGCCACAGGCCGCTTGTACTAGTCTCAGCCTACCTCTCGGGGAATAGAACCTTACCTCAAAGCGACCTAGATACGCTACTTAACTTAGGCCCTTCCGTGATAATTGCAGGAGATCTAAACTGCAAACACGGCTCATGGAACACCAACAGCATCCCAAATAACAACGGAAAGCATCTCTTTAGCTTAGCCGATAACCTAAATTTTGGCATAGTCGCTCCCGCGACTCCCACTAGGTATCCTACGGTGGACAACTACCAACACGCGTCACCGAGTGTCCTAGACATCATGTTATTCAGGGATGTCTCGCTCGACATCGAGTCGATAGAGACAATCCATGAACTAGACTCAGACCACAGGCCCGTCCTGTGTAAACTGGGCCAGAACGCCGGCGCGGTCCCTCCGACCAAATCCGTAGTGGACTGGCATCGTCTTGAGGTCAAACTCAAGGCCTTGGACCCCCAGGACTTAGTAGACTTACCCGAGACGATAGCTACGTTCGATGACGCAAATCTAGCGATAGCGAGTCTCCGAGAAACTATTACTTCCGCAGTCACAGACTCGGAACGGACGGTAAAACTGTCGGGCGACCGACAGTTTAACTTTCCACCCGACCTAAGACTGCTAATTAGACAGAAAAATGCAGCCAAACGCGCCTTCGACCGATACCGATCGGAATCGAACCGAACTCTACTTCGACGCCTTCAGCTAGAAGTCAAAGATCGTGTATCGGAACACCGACATAAAACGTGGGACACACTCTCCTAGAGGACATCGAGCCATCGCACACCGCCTACTGGCGGTTGGCCCGCAGTCTGAAAGCAGATCCCCGCGAATCTCTACCGCCGTTAGTTAGACCTAATAGCGCTTCAGTAGCCCTAGATGACTCCGAAAAAGCCGAATGCCTTGCGGACAACCTAGAGCAGCAATGTACGCCATCGCGCGAACACACCGATTCAGTCCACCTAACGGAGGTGGACCGCGTAATCGAGACTAGGGCTGCGCTTCCACCGGAAGGCGAAACTTTAAATTCAGTGACCCCCGAAGAGGTCCAAGATATTATTAAAAAATTAAAACCAAAATCCGCCCCGGGCCCAGATAATATAAGTAATAAGATTCTCAAAGCTCTCCCTGGGCCGCTTATCTGTTTACTGGCGACCATTTTCAATACCCTTCTCTCCAGTTGCTCCTTTCCGGACGACTGGAAGCAAGCCACGGTTATCGGCATTCGCAAACCGAATAAACCAACTAATCAGCCCTCTAGCTATCGTCCCATCAGCCTCCTCAGTTGCCTGGGGAAGCTCTACGAGCGGCTCTTGTTAAACAGGCTCAAAGAGCACGTATTTTCCAACGGTCTTCTGCCGACGGAACAATTCGGCTTTCGAGCTAGACACTCTTGTCCCGATCAGTTATACCGCCTAACGGAGCACGTCCTAAAAGGCCTAAACCACCCGAAACATATAAGTACAGGGGCTCTTTTCTTCGATGTCGCAAAAGCATTCGACAAAGTCTGGCACAACGGCTTGCTTTACAAGCTGTACACTCTCAAAGTACCAGATAGGCTCGTAAACACCATCCGGGCCTTTTTGTTGAATCGCTCTTTTCGGTATCGAGTCGAGGGCACCCTCTCCACAAGCCGCCGCCTCACGGCCGGCGTACCACAAGGCTCCTGCCTCTCACCTTTGCTCTTTACGCTCTACACGAGCGACATACCCAAAGACCCCCACGTCAATCTCGCGCTTTTCGCGGATGACACCGCGCTCTTTTATTCAGACCGCAACCTTAGAATACTAACCACTAGACTCCAAAGCGCCGCCGACGGCCTCGGCGATTGGTTCCGCAAATGGAGAATAGAAATAAATCCCGAAAAGAGTGTGGCGATTCACTTCACACGAAGTACTTACCCGTCACATCTTTATAATGGCCCTCGCCAATGCAGAAAGTTGGGGCAAATATCCCTTTATGGCCAACCGCTCCCCTGGGAGAAAAAGGTCAAATACTTAGGAGTCACATTCGACTCGCGTATGTCATTTACTACGCACATTAATAACGTTCGTAATAGAGCCGCGTTCGTCTCCGGCCGGCTACACAATTTAACTAACGCTAAAAGTAAAATGCCCTTAAGGCACAAATTATTATTATATATGACCTGCGTACGACCTATTATGTCCTACGCATGCATGATCTTCGCCCACACGCACCCTACTCGCTTGTACAAGCTGCAAATAGTACAAAATAAGTTCATCCGCTGTGCAGCCGGTGCGCAGTGGTACCAACGCAACGTCGATCTGCACAGCGATTGCAGACTCCCGACGATTCGCGAATATTTTAAAGATTTGACAAAACGGTTCTTCGATAGAGCCGAACATCATCCCAACCCTCTGGTGGTAAGCGCAGCAAATTACCAACCCGACACAAACGCGAACGTTAACAAGCGTCGCCCGCGAAACGTCCTCATCGACCCGGTCGAGGAAGGGGACTTAGATACTCCGGACCCACCGCCGGGGGTCCCGCTGGATAACACTACACCCACAGCTAGTGTAACAACAAACACAATAGTTCGCTCTCGCCTCCGAGCACGGCGAGACCAACACAACGCGTACACAAGGTACACCCGCGTTCCAGGGCGGTTCTCACCGCCCCCAGTCACCGATTAGCTAAAAACACAGTCGACGGCCATCGGGGTCTCGGTCCACACCGCAACTTCGACGGCCCTTAGATGACATGTCGTAGTTAAACGCACGCATGAGCACCCACAGCGGAGGGCCCAAACCCGTGGGTTCTGGCTAGCCCACCGGTTCTGCGTCAGATGAAGCTTTAATAGTCTCGGGACTGACAGCAAAAACATCAGTTAATACAAGATACAAGAAGATTGCACGCACAAATTCACTTAAGTGCAACACAATCGCATAAATATTATAGGACAAACAAAGATGATATGACGTCAGAAACGCGTCTAGAGATCATTTGTTTTTCTTTTCTTAATTAGGAACCTGATAAATTGAATGGCAATGGTAATTGATAATTTAGTCTGGTGACAAACGCTATAGCATGTAGGCCAGTAAAAATAGACGTATTTTTCGTTCAACTTTTCTTTATGTTAGCGAATCAATTTTTGTTTTCCATAAGGTTTATGGTCACTAACTGAGTATAAAATAACAGAATGATGAACGTATTCCGATCGAGCTTCAGACGCCATCTTGAAAAAAACGTTTTTGGTCGATATCTCGGAAACTATGCATTTAGGGCAAAAGTCATTGAAACCGTTTTGGTTCCCATAAAGTAAATGTTAAATTGTATTTTTAATGGCCTAATAAGCGAAGCTAATTAAAAACTAATAATAAACGCATAATCGCTATTATTTATACAATACATAAGACGTCAGACAGAGAGATTGATTTTACAATTTCTTTTTTTTTTTTTCTTATTCAGAAACATTAGCAGTCTGACAACGAGGTTGGCGGTGCTGATAGCACTGCACGCGGCGGGCGTCGGCATGGCGATGCCAAGCGTGCTGGTCTCCAGGCCTGTATCAAGGTTCGAGAGACAATGGCTGCCGATGGATAACCAGACTCTCTACAAAATGGAGCGAGGAGAGATCAGAAGGTACAGAATAGCATTATATTATTATTAATTCGAAAGTATGTGTTATTTTTTTGATAGAACTTATACTGATAGATACTAATTATATAAGTGCTTTTTTTAAAACATTGCCCTCACTGTAGGATAACATTATCCCGTGTTGTAAGACCATTTACAAGCATAAATTTCACTTGAAATCCGAAACAGATTCGAAACAACTATCCGTGGGTCACACAGATACTTGTCTCGTGTGAGAATCCAACCCACGACCACTGGCGCCGAAGCCAATACCTTAACAACTGCGCCACAGACAATGAAACAGTTCAAGAGAATGAGTTGAATGTTGGTTGTATTACTTCAAGTTGTCGCAATAGTTGATGAAGCGTTTTTGAATTGAAGCTTAATTTCATAGTTTAGCTTTAAACATTAGAAATTGTTTCGTCATTCATCAAAAGTGTTAAATAAAAATGCATATTTAAATATTAAACATTAAAATGTGTAGGGAAAAGTTTGTATGCTGCAAAGGATATAACAATGGATGTGCCATGCATTGCTTGAAATGCGAAAAAATAATGTAGATGAAAGGTTGATATTTTTATTGGATCGCAGTCAGACGATTAGCTTAGTGGTTAAAGCGTTAGGGCGCGAATCTCGAATACCTGGGTTCGAATCCCGCAGCGGCGATATACTTTCGCACTTTTTTCCACACAAATTATTAAAATGATTATGTGAAAAATGAAGTGTGCTCTTTAAGCACTGTATTATCCTGAAAGAAAGTAGAAACGTTAATACTTAAGTACATGTTAATATATTTCGTAAAATGAATGTTGTGCGTAAAATAAAAGATTATTGTGTAATCTTATTACGTGATCAGTGATATTTTCGTAATAAAAATAATTGAAAAAAATATTTTGAAGATATGTGAAATCCGCCAATCCGCTCTAATAGTCACTCGTTGGATTATGTCTTAACACAGTAGTGTATAAAAAAGTAATGGTCGAGTTCCTTCGTGTAATTTTCTTTGATCCAAAATTTTAACCTTCTCGAAGTCTGTGACGGGCACATTTTTTTATTATTTGTGAATAAGAGCGATAGTTTTGCTATTCTATAACAGCGAATTTACCGAAACTCTTCCTTCATATACAACTGAAACAGCGGTAGACTTCCAATGTGGACGAGAGTAAATAATTTTTTTATATAAAAAAAACTAAACGCTGACCAATTTTCGGAATACGTTTTGCATAGTTGTCGATCTGATCGAATCCGACCAAATTGATGTGCTTTGTTGTTAGGGACGTTCTTGAAATTTTAAACGCCTTGTGATTATTTTTATACTGTTGACCTTATTATTGCAAGCTTCTGACCAATTATGTGTAATTCGTAACTTTCTAGGATCTTTGCTTGATATTGCAAAACTACTCTTGAGGTGCTAATCAGAAAAAGCTATCTTACTTTTTTTATTTTTATAATTAATACGCAAATAAAATTAGACCAAATATCAATATTAATTAACCAATTGTGATCATTGTGTGACCAGTTTTAGAATTGATCTCTCGGATCAATTTGAACCGCAAAACTTTCTTTAAAAAGATCTTGGAATTTTAACCTCATTGACCATTTATGACCAATACTTCACCGCGTCGGATAAATTTTATATAGTTCAAATTTCAATATTTGGGCCGCTTATTAGATGGGCACGTATGTGCTCGTGCGTGCTATATGTAGAGGGGGGGATTGTTGACTGCGGACCACCTAGAGGAGGTTGACTATAATGGCTCTTGGCTGTATTAATCAGTGACTGGGGGCCGTGAGAACTACCCTGGAACGCTTTTTTGTATACGTTAATAAGTAACATATTACTGTTCCTTTCAGTCTTGAACTAAACACATCTCTGATGTCGGACACTCATGTCTACATTACCATCAGTCCGTGTTCTACATCGTTTCATTGGGGCCTGTACCAGGGCAGATCAGGGGACAATGATGGTGAGATTCTTTTTATAATGATTGTTATAACTAATATGTTTACCAAAAATATATATTTACATAGTGTATTCCTTGTATGTTAAATGTATAAATGAAAACAATACATAGCAAATCTAAATACGCACATCATTACTGAACGGCACCGTGTTTGGAATAATGTTTTATTGGGCCACTGCAATTTAAAATATGTTGTGTAAACAATTTAAAATAATGTAACAACTCTGACCGTTTCAAACATCTTACATGATCCTAAACGTTTAAGTCTATTCATTAAAAAAATCGTTTCCCTTTTTGCTACAGGAAACCTTAAGCTGCTAGAAGAGTATGAGGGTGCTGAAATGAAAATTTTGTCTGTGATTATTCGAAGGCAAGAAAAGTATATTTTACAGGTATGTATCAAAAGTCAGGTAATTATCGATTACGAAGGACAAGGACAAAATATTGGTTCAAATTTCAAAATTCAAACGCTACGAAGTATGATATAATTATGTATATAAAAAATTTACTTAGCGTAGGTATGTTTTTGTCAACAAAACTCAAAAACTAGCCGATGAATTGACCTGATATTTGTTCATAACATATTTAATTAATTTAACATTAACACAGCTATTACAACATAGCTATTGAACAGGAGAGTGTTTATATACTTAATTCCTAATTTCCAACGGGAACGAAAAAACGCAGTGAAGCTTAGCCGGGTTCAGCTAGTCATTAAATAAGTTTAAGTTAAGATGGTAGTCGAGTACCAGCCAGTACTTGATTATTCACAATAAAGTAAGCAAGTCGGTGAATGGGAGAAAATGCATGTCTATTCGACTACATAAATCTATGTTAAATTTAATAATGCTGTAATTTTATACATCCTGACTGGAGACTCATCCCTGATTCAAAGAACATAACAAATATGAAATTACAAATATGAACTGCACCCAAACATGCATCCGGTGTCGGTACCGCTTACTTAGCCGCTGTGTTATCCTTACTGATATTATAAACGCGAAAGTTTGTATGTATGGATAGATGTTTGTTACTCTTTCACGTAAATACTACTGAATGGATTTTAATGAAACTTTACAATAATATAGCTCTTACATCAGAATAACACATAGGCTATAATATACAGATTTTTATGTATATATGTCTCTTTGTCTGAATGTTATGCCTTCAGCCTATTCTACGCAGACGTAGTTGCGGGCAGCAGCTAGTATAAATAATACAATCAACTTAGGATTACCTAATGTTTCTATTTCCGCTAGATAAATGATTACTAAACAATCCGTACTAATGACATCCTTGTTACAAAAAATATGGTCATAATCACAAAAACATGTCACATTATTAATCCTTTATTTCCATACAACATATTAAGCAATAAAATTGATCACTGCTATTGATACCAAATTTAATATTGCGCTTAATTAGTTAGAAGTAACAGCTAATGGAATGTTGCTCGATTAAACGTAAGTATTTCTGACCGAGTTTCACTTTAAAAATCCCTAGTGTTTACCAACACAACTTACTGCTGCCTTATAAAAGTGTAAACTCCACAATATAACAACCAATTATCGAGTGTAAATGAAACCGTTAAAGCGGGTTAAGTTAATAAGTTCTGCGAGCCAATGAATGTAGAATGTAGTCCAGTACATATCCCTATCAATATAAACAGGTGAACCTTGTTTGCATGTTCCTACGGATAGTCTCTGAAACTAATCAAACGATTCTGAAATTTCTAATTCTGCTATAAATTCTGAATAAATGAGAAAAGGCTAAATTATACCTGCGTAATGTACTTTAAATCCATGATCTGCGTAATGTACTTTAAATGTACTTGAAATCGACTCATAAAAAGTGATGAGATGTTTCTTGGAAGATGCATCAACTTTTATAATAAAATAGGTGACATCCACAAACAACTAAGTATAAACAATTTCAAACAATTTGTAAAAGCTACCTTAATGGCAAGGGCCTACTATAATATCCAAGAATACATAGAGGACAAGGATGTTTGGAAATGACTCTTGCTCTGCACTTGCAAGACCCCTGGCTGCTGCTGATTTTATACCCAAATAAGTGTGTATAATTGCATTAAAAAAAATATATATAGAACAAAAAGACCAAGACCGCAGAGTTTCTTGCCGGTTCTTCTCTGTGCAGGTCTAGTTTAGTGAACCGGTGGTAGATTTTTGTTGACGTTCAATAAGAGCTTAAGTTAGGCCTATATTGAATAAATATACTTTGACTTTGACTTTTAACTTTGACTTTAAATGGTATTGTATACTACCTGTCCGGGCAGACTTCGTTCTTTTTTTTTTTTTTAAGTATTAAAACCTTCCGCGGACCTTAAGGAACATACAAAAAAAATAAATTAGACGTATTGGTCCAGCCATTCTTCAGTTATTCGCTTACCAACATTCATTTTTATTTAGTAAGATTACTTATTATGGCTCAGTTAACCAAATGCAATTCCGTTGACATTCTTTGCTTCAGTTGTCGGCGTCTAACAGTGGTACCATAGTGGTGAGTGTACGGGGAGAGGTGACGAGACGTGTTCGCATGCGACTACGGGTTCGATCGAGACGCAGGCTTTCGGCGAATTGGGATCCCAGGTAATTATGTAACCATGGAGCCGTGACAGCTCAGTGTCCGGGCGATCCCCCTTAATTCAATATACTCGAGCAACCTGAGTTCGATCCCCGGTGCCGGCACCGTCACGTGCTCTGCGGTAAAGGAAAACATCGTGAGGAAACCTGCATACTTTCGAAATAATAACAAAAAAATATATTTCGAAGATATCTGAAGTTCGCCAATCCGCAGTGGGGCCGTGGTGGACTATGCCCTGATACCCTCTGTACAGAGGAGGCCTTTGCCCAGCAGTGGGACATGTATAGGCTGATACTTTACTTTTACTTTACTTATGTAACCATCATATGTATAGTCTTAATGTATTTCGTCATGTACCTAGCACTGTGGAGGGCCTCAAATCCGTGGGCTCCAGCTAACCGACGGGCTCTGTATTCGATGAAGCTTTAATACTCTACGGACGAAAGCACTAATTTCCGTCAAAACATAAGCATAAATATATTATAAACATTATGCACCTAACATATTAGGATATGAAAACTTTTTCCATATTTTACAGAGACTAAGAATCGATGAGTTCTTATATAAAGAATAATTTGCAGAGTTTAATGTAGCGACATTCCTCTTTGTGTTTATTCCCAAGAAAAACTTCTTTTTTTAATTCAAAGCGACGTAACTAATATATAACTGCTAAAATTAATGTTAATGTTAAGATTTATTTGAGAGATAATTATGATGACAGATCATAACTCTTAAATATTTCTTTCTCTGTATCGCGGCATTGTAGGTTTTTTTGCTTCTTAAATATAATGCATTGTCTGCGGCCATACAAAGCTAGAATAACATAAAATATCCCAATTTTTTATGGTCACTGATTAACTGATCCATTGGGAAATTATCATTTTGTAGTTGTAGTAAGACTCAAATATGTCTGACGAGTGACTGAAAACTCTAAATCATCTTCGTATCAAGACGCTTGTGCTTAAAGCGTCCTGAATTTAATTAATAAGAAGCAACTGTAAACCGTACGGATGTGAACCTAAATCACTGTTTGCAGTACAAAATATCTCAATAAAAACCTGTCAGTGCGGTAGCACCGTTAACCATAACTCTCGCAGACCATAAATCCGAACCGTCTGTATGTTCGTCACAAGAACAAGTATAGATGAATTTATGATACGCCGTATATGGCCTTAGATATATCTCGGTAAGGGTGACGACACACGGCGCTTATAATTCAATGTGATCAAGAACGTATGTTCCCGTTTCAAATTTTAAATTCCTCCAACTCTCAATTAAAAAACATTTAGAAATTTTTAATCGACCAAGGGAAAATAATCAACATAAAATATGGACGTGGTACTTCTGTATAAACAATTAGGCATTGGCAGTATTAGTTTTGTTCACGCAACAAAACTATGACTGTGAATAGTGTATTCTTAGCGGTTACACGAAATACACATGATAGTCGAAATATTTTTCTTCAATGTATACTAGATCTAAGTCCTGTAATGACTAACACGAAGAGCATAGCGGACCAGCTTTCTGTTTTTCGCGTCCGCCTCCATTTCGCAGTTACAACAACCCCGCCTTTTAAGGTATGTAATTGCCCAAGCAGTTAGGTGGACCCCTGCCAACGCGAGATACCTCGGCCGATAAGAAGCGTTAGACTCTAATAAGTAATCATACATGTCAAGTTTTCTGGGCGCTGATCGATATATAACATCAATTCGATACAGAACACTCGACTGACGACATAACAGTTTATGTCTGTACCAATTTAATTCCAAATCTGAACCTCGAAATCAATCACAATGACAGGGCTGTTTTGTTGCGATGCATAAGCGTGGTTTACGTGGGATTAATGGTCGAGTACAAAAACTATCTAGAGCCTTCCTTACTAACTATTGTTGCAAACTCTACGATAGTTGTTGTTCGTAACTATATATTTCGATAGAAGCATATTTCCTTTTGCTTACTTGCAGTTTCTCCCACTAATCCACTTATCCTATCCATTCATGTTGCGAACAGTAAATTAGTGACAGTTCGAACTATATACTCACTATTTAATCTTTCGCTAGTCGTATTTAAATATTTTTATTGAAAAAAAAATTATCTCCCACTTAATTATTGCGCTTTCTTCACACAACAATCTTTCTCACACAATAATCTCACTAACAAATCTTTGAATTCACATCAATTTTTTGTTTTTGATATAGATTAACCGCAACCATATGGCCGAATTAATTTTATCTGCAAACTCACTTATTTTATATACTGCTGTTACACTAATCATTACTTTTAAATATTACTACTTATTATTTTGCTATAATTGGAACGAGAATAGTTATTGTTATCGATTAATTAACTTGGTAATATATATAAAACTCAAACGCAATAACGCATGGACGTAATTGCATTACTGCAATGACTGCGGGGAAAATGGTTTGTATAATTGCTTTCGGTAATAAATACTAATTGAAACCAGTGTAGTTTTAAACGAATGAACAAGTACATAATGCATTATTTATGCTTTAACTTAATAACTCTGTCGATAGCGAGATAGCTATAAAAAAATTTTAAACGATTTACATGATTAGAGGCGATTAACATCATTATCTTCGAAAGGATTAGGACCAAACGGCCTGTACAGTTGAGAAAGATTTGCGAAGAGAAAATAAAAATAAGAAAGTTATTTTCATTCTTTGACTTCTTATCCTACTAATATTTTTTTATGTGAAATAGGGGCAAATGAGCTAGCGGTTCACCTCATGTTAAGTAATAACCGCCGCCCATAGACATTTGCAACACCGTAGGGTTGCAAATGCATTGCCACCTTTAAATAAAGTGGGCCAACTTCACATATGTCCATCAGGCCGTTAGATCTTATAAATGAAACGTATTGCACAAAACATTTGCTATCGGACGAGGAATAAATCCCAGCATCGACTGTGGAACCAAGTTCTCTAGGGGTCTTCATACTGCGTCCGTTCGTTGTACAGCAACATTGTATTTTACACTGACACCGCGATTGATTTATTTTATAAGGGCGCTCGCCTAAACCGCTTCTTGCTCCATTATACTTACCTGTTTATAAACATTCCGTTTGGTATTGGTAATGAAGTAGGATAAGCTCGTAGGTTAATAGAAAAGATTTTCTTACTTCTTGAGTTAGATAAGGCTAGGTTAGGTATTCAATTATGCATATAAATCTATATAAATACATATAACACTAACAGCAGTTTTATATTTCTGTTAACAAGCCAATGAAACTTTTCTAAGATTCAAAACAGTATTTTTACTATCTTTTGTGTAAAACTAACATTATTTGAATTTTTTTATCAACGGCGAGAAAAACTGATTAAGTTTAGTACGTGAATGCTTTGCCGAAGCTAGCAGTATTTTTTAAATGCACAGTTACAGTTTGGTTTAACGATTACATAGACAACTGTTGTAAATAAATGTCATAGACAATGCATTGACTTTAGTCTAATTAATGTAGTACATTATATTTCACGATATTTTTTATTATTATCAACGTGATAACATTGAAATTGTGCAGTCGGTTGTGTTTAATGTTTCATATTTTAATATGTTTGGACATGAAGAGTATAATAGATTTTTTAATAAGGAAAGTAGCTTACGCTATATATATATATCAAATCCTGTGATGCTATGTAGCACCTGCCTCCAACATTAGTCGCCACAATGCTGATTCGCCCTAGCGGGATGGGAGACAGGGCCTTGATCTCTCGGGCGTGCCATAATGATTACGACCCATAACTCACTAATCACGAAGGCATCATGATCAGCCGAAAATATAAATGTATTGTTTTAGGCACCTTTATACTCCTTCGTTCGCCGACACTTGGTACATTTATTAGCCTGTAGAAATGTTAAAAAACACATGAGTCCGTTCGTAGCTTTCACACATCATGGTGTAAATAAATAAATAAATAATTACAGCTCTGTTGTAATAACTTAAGCTAGAGTACCTCATATGGGGCTGTTCTGCAAGACTAGTGATTACTACGAAGAGATACATAACATTTACAGGCCGCTCTTTCTTGGAAACGATATCAGCAACACAAGACTTGACGTCTTAGAAATAATGAAATTAAAAAAAAGAAATCGTGAACGCAGCAATTGATTTGTAGTGTCACAGTTAGAAAATATAATTTTCTATTACTAGAAAATATGGTTATGAAAATATATAATAGAAAATTATATATACTAACAGTAATGGCATGGAATCTATAAATAAATGAACGCTCACGACAAGGCGATGTTGGCCTAGTGGCTGAGGACGTCGACTCACGAGTTGAGGTCGTGGATTAGTATAGTGCACCAATGACCTTTCCCATATTGTTATGAGTACCTTCATATATATATAGTTTAATGTCTCACACGATAATCTCATTCATTATGTCTTTTAACGGAAGATCTATTTACCACGAAGACTCAATGATTTTTTCCCACTAAATTATCGCGGAAACTTTGTTTAATGGATAAATTACTAAATTTATGTATGTATATATATATATATAACATGTGACAACGTAATTTTCACTATTAATCATACTACGTGTAAATTATGTAAACAGTAATCTGACAGAAACAAAGAATGAGAAAGAGCGGTCAGCGTTGGCTCTTAGTGAAAGAAAACTTTCGAACTCTACGAAAATAGATTCGGAATTTGACCGAAACATGAACATATAGCGATTTCGTTTCGATTTCGAAACAAAGAAGAATATTAATACATGCGATGAATGAGTGACGTCGCTCAGCTGTGTAATGAAAGCAATTAAACGCGAAATGGTGACGACTTGTGCGTCTGTTGGACTTGGACGCTGTAATTATTCCAAATCGCCAATATAACTCATAGCGGCAGTTTGTAGCGAATACAAGTCTGTTGGGGTTGGCGTAAATAGAATAAACACTCAGTAAAGGCAAGCTTCATTCCATCAACTTTTTGTCGCGCGGCATCCATGACGTCACGTAGGTGTTTTCAATCTTATATTCATTA